AGCATTTATAAAAAAATAAAATTTTCATTACAATTACTAAGCAAATTAACTATAATTTAATTTATCAATAAAACTTATTCAATTAAATTTCATAAAGTTTCTACGAACTTTTTTCGTTTTAACAAATAATATTAATATCTTATAAGTTATAATTATATTTATTTAAAATAATAGCCTACAAACCACAGTAGTCAATTTTTTTTTTTTATTTAATTTTATATATATATATAAAGGTACTAGTTTAATTTCAATATGATGAAATGTTTACTAGTTATTCAAGAAAAATATTAATTTTTATCTTCATGGTCTGTATAATATTTATTGACGGTAATACACAGGTTTAACAAACTAAGAGAACTAGTAAATATAATTAATATGTACTTAGTACATTTTTATTTTATTTTTTTTTAAATTTAGATATTTTCTAGTTTTATACAACATTTGAACTTTATAAGTATAATATATGTATATTTTATATATATAAAATATTATATTTATAAGAGCAAGACTTCTTATATGTTTAGTTAATTTTCAGTTTTTTATGTTACCCTACGTATAATTTTCCTATACATAATATACTGTTTATCGGCATATTATTTTTATGTATAGTATACTTAATATAAACTGCATCCATTAGTAATATAATATACTAGGCAATTGTTATCTAAAAAACTATCAATCATAGTCTAACAAAAATCCTTGGTTGAAATATATGAAACAGAATTCATTAATAATTAAGTGAATAATATTTATGTTTTTAACGTTCTGTTTAATAAATAACAATGAACATACGTTATAAACTCGAAAACCTGAAATTAATGAGTCTAAATACAGCGAAATAGTATTTTTACTCTTATAATTCAGTAAGACGTATTAAATAATAGACATGAACTATCATCACTAAGTATACACCGTATAGCAACGTACAAGTACCTAGTGATTTATTATTTTATTTTTGGTATGTATAGATCATTTATAACACAAATTTACTCTACACATATGAAGTCTAGCTCTACAGTATTATGATTTATTTTTGTATTTGTTTTAGTATTGTCTTTTTGTGACAATAGAAACACAAATAAGTAATAACTAAACAAAACAAATAAAAAATGTAAATTTTAAATTTCTCCAAAATATAACGTCAATCAAACGAGAAATCCACTAGGAAAGTTGTTAAAAATGTACAAACAAATTAAAGAAAACATTATTATTCTTTATAACACTTGATACTTATTTGAAATCATACACATATACTTATTTTTTTTTCATTGGTGGAATAAAATAATAATAATAAAAGACCATCGATTATAAAACGACATACCGAAATAAATTAAATTTGTATTTTATTACCAATTACAAGGTTTTAATAATAACGTATAAAAGATATAAAAGATAGCTTTTTCCAAATTTTAATACCCCCTTTTTAATAGCTTCTATTTATATTTTTTTAATTTTAATTTTAATTTTTGTAAGTCTACTGAAAAGTGTATTTTTAAAATTGTAATTATAATCAATTACAACTTTTAAATCAAATTTCAGAACCTTATTAAAATACATAAACATTTCGAACGCATTTTTTAAAAATTATAAGTAATTCATAAATAGATTACTAAAATTATAATTATTATTTGATTTTCTATGTAGAATTTAGACTGGTAAATATTTGATTTTAATAATTATTGTAAAAAATAAGTTACTATATTTTTAGTTAATAAGACTTGCTTATAATTCAAAGAGACAATACGTCATAGCAATATAAAATATGCAAAATTATATTTTTCAAAAGAATAATACACGTGTATTGTTTCTATTAACCTATCTCACCTATAATAGTGAATGATAGCTTTAATTATTCATATCACTGTCGTTATGCCAGCTATCACCTTTGATAAACAATAAATACGCGTTCTTGACTCCTTTACTGAAATTAAATATTATATAGCATTTGAAAAAAAATATTATTTTTTATGCACATAATTTATAATATATGTCTAGAATATTTGAACACAAAAAAAAAAAAAAACAACAAAAATTAAATTTTTTCCAAAAATATTGTATTTATATTATGAATTATGACTTAAAGTTTAAACTTGATTTACTCTTTTCATGGACACCGGCAATTATTCAAAAAGTATATCATGTTAAAATATTAAAACTCTGTAGACTCTAGATACTACTACCACGTACGTACCAAAGTTATTGAAGAAATATTACATAAGATATTTTTTTTATCAAAAATACCACTCATTATCTTTAAAAGTAGGTTTTTATAACGATTTTTGAAATATTTTTTTGCATAATTTGGTTATAATAAAACAAAATATTTGTAAAAATAAATATATTTCTTTAAGTTCTTACTATTTATTATCGTTATAATCCTTAAATTTTTATTTAAAAATTTAATTTACTTGCATAGGTTATACTAAATTTAAAACTATTAATTATTATCTATAAATATTTTAATATTTATTTTCATTACAAAATCATTGTAAGTATTAGAAATACACGGGTAATGCCAATAAATACTAAAGTTTTGTATACATTCAACATGCAATATTTATTGTTTTATGTTTATGTTTATCAATTTAATTTGTTTTTTATTTGCATTAATACCTACATGTATATTTACTAATTATTATACACAATCAATAGTTTACCGATACCTACCTACTGTTTGTTGTGAATCACAAATCGTCTACGACAATTGAAAATATTAACACAGTGTCAAAGTAAGTAATGTCATACGCTTTTCGTAAAAATATAATATTATAATATAGTCACGAGTAATAAACACAATCCATTTGGAAAGTATTCGTCACAATCCATTAGAATAACACTCGAATGACTTGTAAGAAATATAATATGCTTACAATGTGAATCTGTATAATATAATACACAGTTACAGGTATAAATAGTAAATACACATCAACGTTTTAATCGTCTAGATGTATGTACTAAATAAATGTTTTAGTTAGTAATAAGACACATACGTAATTTACAGTAATACAGTATAAGGCAGGTATGCCTAACCCGCGGCCCGCGGCCCGCATCCAGCCCACGAAGGTGTTCCAACCAGCCCGTGTAAAAAAAAAATTATTATTTACAAAAAATGTATTTTATTAAGTTTTTAAAAATATAAAATATTTTACAACTTTGAATTTGTATACAAAAAAAATGCATTGGATTTTAGAATATTAATAAAAAAAAATTAGTAAGAAATTTGGGCTTGTTTTTCTTTAACCAATCTTTCAATGTTCAGAGTGAAATGTGTAACGCCAATTCTTAATAAGAAGTGTAAGTACAATAGATATACCTATGACTAGTTTATATTTTATTGAAATGAACAAAAAAAAAACCTATGAAGCATATACGGCCCGCCGGAGTTTGTCGATTGCGTCCCAGATGCAGGTAAACGATTTTTTGCCCACCTTTTCCGTGTTCCGATTGCTTCCTATTGTATAGTAGGTAAGCGTTAATGTGACAAATAAATTGACATATTAAATCTAATATTTTTGTCATACATGGTGTGGAGGTATATTTAAATACGAATTGTTTTTTACTTGATGAGTTAACGAACATTTTATCTTAAGGTTGGTACTCTTATCGATTTACGATCACGTAGCGATTTAGTACGTCAAGTGTCTTAGAATCGAAAGATACTTTAAAGTTTAGACTTAATAATGAATACCATTTTTAGTGAAAAAAATAAGAAAATCCGTATAATTGATAAGTTTAAATATTGTTTTTTAAATTATTTATTCTTATATATTTGGATTTATTTTTATTGGTTTTTGTATAATTATTATTATTAAAATAATTATTAATAATGACTATTCGTTTTACAAAATGTTATGCTTATATATCATACAACAGGACACAATCGGAACATAAAAAGGTAAGAAAAATAATTTACCTATCCGACTTGTGGACGCAATCGACATACTGAAAAGGTATAAAAGGTTGAAACGGGACGCAATCGAATGACGCCCCGGCCCGCAGTACAAATATACATTTTGAATGTGGCCCGCCAGTTGAAAAAGGTTGGGCATGCCTGGTATAGTAGGTATACGCATCTTGTTCTGTACAGGTATATGGCCCCAGCTACTGTCAATAATATCAGTGATATTGAATTGAGTCCATACTACTGTTATGTGTTAGAATTGAGTCCAGCTTATTATCTTAATTGCAGGTATAACAAATATGTAGGGTACTTGTTAAGTAGTTACCCATTTCGTCTTTTGCGGGTATGGGTGAATTCTCAATAAATAATAATATACGAGTAATATAGATAATAATGGCGTTCTACAATTTAACAGTCATTATCCAAAGTTTTCAAGTCTATTTTTATAAATTTTTTAACAGTTATATTATGTATTCAAAGCCGTTTTTGATTATCATAAAATTCTATCAAGTTGGTGAGAACACAATGATAAGTCAGCATTTTTATCTGAATTTAAAAAAAAGTAGCCGGTAACCCCCTCCCCCCACAATAACCGCTAATTTTGTTCTCTGGACGACCTTGGATAAACTTGAAGACTGTATTATCAAATACTGAGATTGCTCACCATTTAAGAGTCCTGAGACAAATTCCTTTATTTTATGTGCGAATCTCTTTTTTTTTTCACTTTTTTACTTCTTATTATTGATTTTAGTAAATGCGAACAATCAAAGGATTAAACAGGATAAACCATGTATTACACATAACATATTATATTAATAATGTTTTTTTTTACATGAACGTATACAATAATAACAGGTTTCCGTAGAAAGAGACAAAACTAAACTACTACTAAAGCAACAACAACAAAGACGACGACGACGACGACGACGACGATGACGACGATCGTAGGTACTACAAACCTCTATGTCTGCTTACTGTCTACAATATAACATAGTATCTACGTATAACGATACAGCATACACCTTTTGTATACGTAGGTATTGTAATACGTGTACGGTGGGGCAGCGGCGGCGGATATAGAAACAATTGCACACACTACCGACCGACAACAAACTATGTAGTTCATTCAGCCGGACCGCGCGACTCCGCAATAATACACAATTACACTGTTGGGCAGACGCGTTGATGCTGTGCGCGTGACCACAGACACACGGAAACCGGTCACAGCTCATTCGGCGAACCGATCGCAGAGCGCAGTGTTTAGTGCGAATGCAAAATCGGCAAATACAACAATCCGTAACCGCGGTCCACCGTCCGATCAACATTTGAACCGTATTTTTATAATTTTTTCGTTAAAACATACATATTATAAATATCGCCGTATATCCTATATTATTTGAGTTACTACCGTCGCGATAATGGCTCGCGGCGACGAACAACCGCCACCGATGGGTCGCGCGCAAAGCACCGTTACGTTTAAAGCGATGACGAACGACAACCGCGGCAACCGTAACGACGAGGAGGAGGAGGACGATGATGACAATAAGTCCGCTTGCAACAGTGAAGATGCGCAGCAGGACGAGGACGAGATGCCGCTGGTGGAAGCGTCCAGGACGAGGATGTTCAGCGTATCCGCCGACAGGCCGATCACCAGGATCCCGACCCGGGTTGACATGAAGACGTTGACGCACAAAGCGAAACGACCTGCTGTCGATATCGAATTCCACGACCTGACTTACGCCGTCAACACGACAGCGGGTGAGTTGCTTCTCGCAACGATAATAACGACGAACGTGTCCAACGCACAGAAATGTTACACTCAGGCACCTGTAGATACCTTTACACTCGACCCGTAAGACGTATCACATAATTCTGCGTTTTGTGAACGATCACTAAACATTCAAAAATGCTAAAATAATTATAACACGCTAATAAATATGATCCCTTAAACATGAATTAACGATTCAGTAAAATGTTATTGCACCATTGAATTAATCAATTTTTCTGCGCGATCCAGTCTTATTCCTATCCGTTTTAGCGTCCCTACGTTTTCAAAAATCATTTTTAATTTGACTTGGAAATTATATTTTCATATTTTATCCATGTTATATAATTTTTTATTGGTACGATTATATCTTATGTATGACTATTTTTTTGTTTTTTTACATATAATTGCTTAAAAGCCTTGCACCCTTGTTTTAATGTCCTTAATATACTGCTGTCTCAAGCCATTTAGCCTCCTTAACGTAAATTCAGTGTACATGGATATAATTTAAGCGTACGATTCAAAAATGTCTCCTTGTTGTAGTCTTGTAATCGCTATTATATAATTTTTTTTTCTTCATCTCGGAAGTGCACCGTCAATCGATAACCGCCAATAAACAATAATAATTTGTATATTATGATTTATTATTATAAATCCAACGTGTTATACGTTATACGTGTCATGTTGAAAAAAAAATTAGATAATTATTATTCAATAGAAATTTCGTACATAATACTGGTGATCGCGATAACAATATAGTGAATATATCAATGAGAAATTTCAGACACCGATGTCAACGATATGTCTATTGTTCGTTACATCACGTTAACGACATGACGTACGGGTTTATACTATGAAATATATGAATCATCGTTGTACTAGTATCACATAACCGTTAGAATATTTCAAATATAAACTTATTGATTAGGAAGTATATTGTATGAGGGTATTAAAAAAAAAGAAGAATACTCAACGTTTGTTGTCTGTCATGTTGCTTAAAATATTAATTTTTAAGCAATATCCTGTTATTGCAGTTATAATAACGCATTTTTATAAAAATACCATTTTATTTAATGGTATATACCTATCAATATTGTGTTATCAATTAATATGTATAAATGGTATAATTAATTTCAAATAAAACCCTTGCAATATATTTCTAACAAATAATAAGCTAATTCTTACAAAAGTGAAACGAAATACGATTGTTTAATATTACGTATAATGCATGTAATAAAATATACAATGTATGTAATAACATTTAGTATATATACTTAATGGTAATACTTAGTAAATAATTAATAATTTTAAATGTTTTCATGAATTTGACATCTTAATATTAGCAATGTTCTGTAATTACAATGTAACAATTTACAAGATAATCTCACATATCTCATCAATACTTTTTAACTAAAATTAGTTTGACATTTTATAGTAGGAAGGTAGGTACCTAACTATTTTACAAAATATCATTTAAGTTTAAACACCAACAAGCTTTTATTTTAAATAAAACGATTAGAATGTAAAAATGAAGTTTCTATAATATACTACGATGAGTTATCGTCAATAATAGATTAAAAATAAATACCTAAATTACAGCATTAATGAGTCCATTATATTATAATGTTCAATATGGCGTGAATAAATATTCAAAACCATAATAAGTTTATTGCAATGAGTTTCACATGCAAAACAAATTCTAAAACTAAATTATAACAAATCAAGTGTGTGTCACATATTAATAATAAGCTGTAATCGCTTTGAACTTATTTTTGTATTTACTACATCTATAATTGTAAGGCTAAATTTTTTTTCAAATTAATTCCAGTCATCAAATGAATTTGATAACGTTCTAAACATATTTTTATCCTTAAATGTTTAAACAGATCGTTCTTTTTTTTAATTTATACTTCAGCATGAACTGCTTTAGGTTATTATAATTTGATACAAAAATAAATAGTATAAAATACATTTTAACCCATTTTAAATGTTGTTTATTTAAAAGATAATATTATTAAAGAGGACATTATATTTATTAAAGCAATTATTTCAACACAAAATTAGTAATCAAATAACTTTAAAATTTGAATGAATTATAAAAATATAGGGGTTATAAAATAGTACCAAACCACCAATTTGTACTTGATATAATACTTTTTTTACATTTTAAATAAATATGCTTAATAAGCATAATAAAAACATATTTTAATTTTAAAATAGTTTTAAAACAATCAGATTTAATTTGTAAAATACATTGATGATTTTATTTCATTTTAATCAGGTGAAACAATTATCATTTAAAATTCAGGTATACATTTTAATAATACAACCTTGTCTGTTATACATTACTCATGACGGGTGCTAAAATTGTGATGACAATGTTTATATGCTGACCTGTGTATGTTGAATATTATTAGCATTGTTTAAAAAAACTTACTAGTAATAATAACGTAACGTATAATTTTACCAATTTTTTTCTAAATAAAAAAGTTTATTGATTATCAATAAAATTTACAAATTCCATTATGACGCGCTTTAATTAGGCTGAAAAAACAAAAATATTTCGTTTTTCGACTATTCTACAAAAAATAGGTAACAAAATGGAAACAATATCATCTAAACTAACAACTAAATCTTTATATTTATATTTTGAGATACATTTTATCATATTCATTAAAAGTGAAAAAACTCAGTGTTTCTGTATTATTCTGGTAAGTGGTAACTAGCTACTTATCTAAATTTGGCGTAAAGAAATGTTTAAAGGTGACAAAAGTAATTGATAAATATAATTTAAATAAACAACTAATTCTAGCGATTAAAACTTTATTAATTGTCTAGTGATCATAATCATATTAATCATAGCTATTTATAGTATATCAGATATCTAATTCACAAAAAACATAAAAAAAAATTAAAAATAAAGGTCTTGCTATAAATTGAAGTGTATAAAAAAAGAGTTTGAAACATTTTAAACTGATTTAATTGCTTAAATTCTATATCCTATTTATTAATTGTTTTTGACTGATAATTTTAAGGTTTATTTGATATCCAGTTAATATTAAAATATATACGTATATATAAAATTACAATCGAAATCCTATAACATCGTAATTTTTAGTGTCAAGAATTTTTGAGTTTAAAAATATTGTGTCTTTAAAGTAAATCTCTAAACTTGAGTATGAGTTTAATCAATAAGTAGGTACCCTACCTACACCGTATAAAATAAATATATAATAATTCTTCTATTAATGATAATTATTTATCGATAGTAGATAATTATAAAAAAAAATAAATAAACTAATACATTCAATTAGAATTGTTATAATGTTGTACTTTTATCAATGATGAATTTAAATGGTTTAAAAAAATTAGCACTTACTTTCCGAAAACCAGTTTTCAAACGTCCTCGACCTTGAATTTATACTGGAAAAATATAAATATCACTTTAATAAGAATCATCTTTTTGCAGAGCTTACATTTTTTACATTTATTGTGTATTATCATTTTCATCTATAACATTATATAAATTGTATATTATGTGTTAGTTTTTATACTTATCGATATTCAAATGAGAAAATCCCAAATTTTTTTAATAGGAACCAACAACTTTTATTGTTAAAAAAAAAAAAATATTTCAAATTTTGTTAAATTAAAGCCTTCAAAATGAAAACAAAAACAACAAATTAAAAGTTTCAAGATAATTTGATAATTTATAATTTATATTCTGATTTTTTTTTAATTTTTAAAACTATACATAATAATTATCTATTTATTATAATAGTATAATCTAACCTATACACTCATTTATCATCATCAAGTTGTCTGATTGGTTTCGTTATTTCATTAGTTTAATAGGATTTATTTATTTAATAGTTTTCAAGTTAAACAAAATATCGTGGTATATCAAAAAATATCCATAATATTTATAAATTATAACAGTAAATATACTTACAAAAGTACTAAATCAGAATATAAAAATTGTATATCAACATTTTTGTTTTATTGCTACATTTAAACATTTTTTCTTGTTCATTAGTTACCATAAGTTCATCTATGAATCTTGTTGAATAAGTTTATTCAAAATACAATAATATACATTGTCAATTTATACAAGATGGTGATTTTAAAATTTAACAAAAGAAAAAAGAATTAAATTATTAGCATAAATTCTAAAATATTCTTCTATATATTTTTTTTTTTTTTTTTAATCTGCGCTAATAAATGACTATTATTACTAGTTTGTATAAGTTTTAATTAGTCACTTGTTTTTTCACTGTATTCTACAAGTAACTGACGATTTATTTAATAAAATCTTTTAGTAACTTTACAAGTTATCATGATAATATATTTTTAGAATATATTTAAAAACCAGAATAAATATGAGGAGAATTATCAAATACCTATACAACTCATTAACTCTGTATTATTATTACTTTTTATAACATACATATACATTATATTAAAATAATAAAACAAACATTTTCTATAAATTAAATAGTTTCAAAATTTTATTTTAGATGTATAAATTAAACCTGTTCAAAACAGAGTTACGGCTAATTTACTAAAAAAGAAGTGGTAACCTCATTACGAAAAACAACAATACTAGCATTAAACCATTAGTTGATTTATTAATTTAGAAATAAAACATTTTGTTTAATGCGTATACAAAACAATATTTACCAAAGTATTCTAGACATTTTAAAGATATTTTCCACCGATACATAGTAACAAATAACCTTGTATTAAAATTTCAGGTCAATAGGACGCAAAAGTATATAATTACAACCATCTGTCAAAGCAGTATTTTGTATTTATAGTAACAATTAGCAAAATAATCGTAAATCAATATAATAAAATGTCTATATCATATACTATGAGTTTTTTCATTCGCTATTTTCTATTTTACTAATATAATATACATTTTAGTGTGTGTTGATAGGTAGTATAAATGTTATATTAAAAACATCTACAATGTTTTTTTCTAAAAATCATAAATTGATACTATTAACTAATTAAAGTTTGTCCATTTATAAAGTCATATAATATGTATAAATTTACAAAATTTGTTAGTTATTTTTAAAGAAATTTCCTAAAAATACATAAATCCCATAATAGCCTTATGGTCTATACACCAATACCTAACTTATTCTGTTCAGTTTTAATAAAAAAACAATTATTTAATAATAAAGTGTTTTATGTTAAATACACCGCTCTAGGCAATTTTAGAAAATGTGTTCGTGTTTGATTAGCATAATTATTATTATTTACATGTTATAGGACAAAGAACGATATTGAAAGGTATACACGGTTTCTTTCGTTCAGGACACCTGACCGCCATAATGGGTCCTTCCGGTGCTGGGAAAAGTTCACTGATGAATATACTCGCTGGATACGTGTAAGTTTCCTGTTTGCATTGAGTAGATACTTAATATATAGTTTCTTCGTTTGATACAAACTTCTGTAGGTCATCAGCAGTACGTCGGTTTCCTAAATCAAAAACTAATAATAATAGTCACAATCTTATATAATCATGTTGTGCTGTCACATTATCCAACCAAGGACCAACCAATAATTGATTTCATCGTCTATTATTTGATTGCATGTACTAATTATCAGTATTTAGAGATTTAACATTATTTATTAGATAAAATCAAATTTATGTTTACATTAGTATTTTATTTCCTAATTGAGTATATGTTTTAACCATATAAACATAGCAAGTTATATAAATACGTAAACAATAGTTATATTAAAATTTACGAAACGTGAATTGATAATAGTTTAATAGAGTTGATGCTATAGTTAACTACTATTCTGACTCTTTAGACACTTTTTGATAAAATATTTTAAAATACCTAAAACTTAATAGGTACCTACTAATAAAATGTCTCCATTAGTTCTAATACTAAGTACGAACTATATTAAATATTAATCAATAAAAATATATTTGTGAAAAACCCGTTTTTAAATTAGTTTATTTTAATCGTAAAACTAAACAATGTAAAAAATAAATTATTTTTATCTGAATCACTTTAGGAGAACTGACATTAAAGGACAAATTCTTACAAATGGGCATCCTAGAAATATGCAACTTTTCAAAAAACTTTCAAGTTACATAATGCAAGAAGACTTGCTTCAACCCAGACTTACTGTCATAGAATCATTGAGTTACGCAGCTAGATTGAAAATTGGTCGTGAGTTATCGAAAGAAGACAAAGATAAAGCTGTAAGTATATAATACAACTTAACAATAATAATAACATTTAACGGTATTTCTTTAACAGGCAAACATGTATATATATACTTAAAGATAGTACATTTTAATTATTGTAATGAAAATAAAACAATAAAGCTTCATTAAATAATTATAATACAGCACATTTTTTTAATTAAGTTATGTACGCCAAATATAATATAAGCATTTATAGAGACATAAATAAAACCATTCCCATTGTAAAAATAAATACAGCGTGTAACCGATATGAGTGTACCATCTACATTTCGAATTCAATAATACCCACTTGAAAACAAATGCAATTACTTATTAATCAAATATTTACAAACTTACGACTGCAATTTTAAAATAATATAAAAATATTTTAAATTTTTAAACAAAATACACTTTGTCACATAGTTTAAGACTTACAGTGTCACAATTAAAATTATAATCATATTTGTTCAATATTTATAGTGTTGATTATTTTCTCAAGGGTGAAAATACTGGTACCTACATTACACAACTCGTGTGTACCTTTTCGTCGTCAATCGACACTTACTTACTATGGCGTACAGTTGTAAAAATGTTATCTTATTTGACCTAGGGAAAGCGTAATATTATATAGAAATACAATATACATACATTTAAAGTAAATTCGCAAGCGACAAAGTCTAAATACCCGTTTATAATCTAAGGACGTAACCTATAATTATTACCTTGACCCATGCTGCACACATAATATTAGATGTATATATATATATATATATATATATATATATATATATATATATATTGATAGTATTATTTAAAATAAATGCTGTATGTATTATAATAATTAACATAAATAGGTAATATTACTATAGAAAATCAGGGAGCAATGTGTTTGAATTTTATAAAATCTAAGATTACAGTCAAAATTATTACAATAATGTTTTGTTTACGCTTTGATCAAAATTTAAATTACTAGGCAATACTATCATTAAAAAAATAAATACGATATAGAACAGCGGCTGCAATTTTCAATATCCTAAAAACATGGAATATTTGTAATAAAGTGTTGAAGTTTATAATGCTGCAAAAATTAGTTCGTTTTCTCTTAGTGTCTAATGATACATATCAAAGTATAAGTATTAGTCACAAGCTACAGACACATGAAACTCAAAGATTAAAATTAGTTAACTAGCAAATTATTAGTACACCCTGAATTATACATAAGAATGATATCATGAACATTTTATAATACATAATTGTATTCGTCTAATGATGTAATGTCAATATATGTTTTGATTTATCGTGAAAATGTTTATACTTTATCAATTTGTTATTTTAATTTAATTTTACTAATCAATTTATTTTACAGCATAATTAGTTGTTCTTTTAAAAAAAATTATACATACATATTTAAAAGTGATTAGATTTGTTTTAATATCATGAACAAAAATCACATAAGTTGCTCAATTATTTTAGAACGATCACTATAAATATAAAATAATATATGACGACACTCATAGATATGTGAATATTTTTTTACATTTAATGAGACTTGCAAAATATATAAGATTTTTAAATAAATTACCATCAATAAATATTCTGTGATTATTACATATTTTAAAAAACTAGGTAATTATCATTTTTTTAAACTGGTTTAAATAAATAAAATTTATATAATCATTAATACAAATACTAAATGATGATCTGAGTACTAATATTTTGTTTCAAGTGCAAAAATTGTAATTGGGGAAAATATTTCACAAATTTAGTTTATTTAATTTATATGTTTTTCCATTTTACAATTTTTTAAATATCTATTTTTTTCAATATTTATCATTTAATTGTATTTATTATTATATATTTTTATAATATATTAACATGCATATTATGTAATCTAATTAGTTTTTAATTTTTTTAATTAAATTTGATTTAAATTCAAAATATAATTATAAGCTATCTTAACTATACAAAAAAGTACCTACTTAACATAATAGTATAATACCTAGTTATTTAACATTTTACCGATTAAAAAATATAATTTATTTTATGTTGCTCTTCATAGAAACAATTATACTTCTACCTCATCATTTTTCCCTAGAGCTCTGACATTAATAAATGATGATGTTGATTTTTTTTTGTATGTTCGTAATATATTCGTACAGAATATTTACATGGCTTAAAATGTACCTGTTTAAATTAATGTTTAAAATTATTTAGTAATTTTCTTGATTATTACTATTATTATTATTTTTTTTATTTTTGTTATTGTTGTTGTTGTTGTTGTTGTTGTTATATTTATAATTCTTAATATAACTATGCTGTTCTACTACTATTTTTGTCACACTTACTAATATGTAAGAACTTTTAATTTTGTTACCCAAACTATTTTAATTATATAATTATTATGTTAGTTAAGCAGAAAATGCATACACAATTATTTTGTATTTTACTAAAGGATTTTAAATTCGTTTAATATTTATAAAATAAAAACAAAAACATTTAAAGAATAGATAACTAAGTAGAAATTTTATGAGAGTATACAAATGAAACATTCTTCCACAAAATTATTATAGAACACTTCTTAATAATGTTAAACTATGATTTAAAAAATATTTAAATAATTTAAAATAATATTTTTAATAATAAAAAATAATTATATATTTTCATGAATAAATAATAATAAACTAAGTAATAAAGTCTCAAAAACAATTATTAACTACAAAATAAAATACTTTTCAATACAATTAGCTACTATAATATTAAACATTTTAAAATTATATGTTTTCATTTTTATTGAATTCTTCATAACTATATCTATAACTTGCTTAAAGAAGATTTTTTCCTCCAAAAACTTTGATTACAGACCAAATTATACGAAACATATAATAAAAATTATTTGCACTCGGTAAATTTAATTTATCTTTATCAACTTGATTAGTCATTAAACGGGAAAATTTTGTTACCTACACCATCGTTATAATAGACAAATAAACAAAATTATATTAGTATTAAACTAATGATAATTACCATGTTTTTCATAAACTCATCACTATTAAAAATATTACAACATCTGATCAGTAGAGCTCTACGTAAATAATTTACATTTTAATGGCTATGGATATATCTTGAATGACGTATGGTATTTATACGTTCATATTTAAAAAAACAATATCGACATTATAGAATATTATTTCCATTCACAAAAGGACCTATACAATTAACATTAAAATAATTATTTTTTTTTAGTGAAGTGAACGAACATATCGGATTTACTAATAATGTATTTCTATCGCAACCTGTGTAACTCATAAGCCCCATACTTCCCTACTCATACATTCGTGAGTTGTAAACTAAACAGATAATTAATTCTATCCAGGTGAACGAGGTACTGGAGCTTTTAGGGGTATCGGTGTGCCGTAACACATTTGTGGAGAAATTATCTGGAGGTCAGCGCAAACGTCTGTCCGTGGCACTCGAGTTGGTCAACAATCCGCCGGTGATATTTCTAGATGAACCCACCACGTAAGCATCATAATAATATTATAATTTTACAAACAATCTCAGTCTTTTGGTCTTGGGTTTTTATAACCAAACGAATTGCCACACGAGACCGTATATGAACGAGACACACATACTATAATATATTAATATGAGACGAAATTCAGGTAAAATCAGCGAATCGGTCATGGTGACATTCGCGACTAGATATTTTTCGTGCCAAATTCCATCTATAATCTACTTATTGCCTAATTGGGTACGTGCTATCGTGTATTCGGCCATCTACAGTATGCGGCGAAAAAAATATTACATATTTCTGCACAGATTGAAATCTTATTTGCATGTCATTACAAACAGAGTGACTAGAAAGTATAAACGTATTTCATACCATTCGTATGCGGACACAGTGGTTATCATAATATATTCTACGCGCGAGTACACGCGCACTCCGCGTAGTATCTGCAAAACACGTTTCGGGCAGCTTTCTAGACAGTCCGAAAAAGATATGCCTAACCAGCGCGGATACAATATTATACGCGAATGCATAATTATTGTGCTCAGTCGATTGCTAAAACACGTTTGATTGTCAAGGTCGAAAGTCGAAAACCGTCGTGCCCGTACCTAATGGCTGTGATATGCATCGCATTATTTTGTACGATTAAACCTATTACGTTTCCAGTGGGCTGGACATTGTAGCGATAAAGCAGTGCGTCACCCTACTGGTCGACCTGGCAAAACAAGGAAGGACCGTGGTGTGCACCATTCACCAGCCCAGCTCATCGCTGTTCCATATGTTCGACCACGTATACATGCTGGCCCGAGGCTCTTGTATATACAACGGGTCGCCCAAACAGTTGGTGCCGTTCCTGGCACAAGTCGGGCACGTTTGCAAACCCACGCACAACCCAGCTGATTTCGGTACGACTTTGATATTGTAATTATTGTGCTCGTTTTTTTTTTGATTATTAACAAAAAAAGCTTGGATTAGTGTGCACTAATAAATCATAAAATATGTGTGAATGTACCAAAAAATAATAATAATAGAATGGTTTCATACTTAACGATTTATAGCAATGTTTCAATTTTTTTTTTCTTTATTTTTACATTATTATTTCAAAAAAAAAACGATAGGCAACTCTCTTAAGTTATTCATTTCCGCGTATGAAATGTCCAAAATCTTTTTTATTAAATTTATTTAGATGTATGTTGACCTTGAGTAAACATTTACATAAATTTGCATAGAAGTTCGATTTTGTTTTTGTTTTTTACTTTTTATAAGTTGCTGAATGAGAGATAATTTTTTATCGACATCAACAGCTCCCTCTGATATGCTTTTCTGTTTGTAAATGCTTTAAAACACTGAATCGTTTTTCACATATGTAACATGGCATACTTTACAAAATAAAACTGTTCAAAGAAAATACTGTTTCACTAAACGTGTGAACAAAAACTCATAAATGACTAATTTTTGAAAGTTTTTCTATATTTTTAATGATAACGCATATAGTTTTGGATATGGTTATGTTTATTTTTACGTTTGAAACTGACAACTAATATGATTTTAAACATTAAGTTTTAACTATCAATATTAGCAAATAATAATATCGATGCGATAAGATATAGTAGTAAACGTAAATAATTATTATTACACAATGTATCACGATAAAGATTGACAACTTGTGTACACGGATAAAAAATTACCTTACCTATGCACGAGACAAATAAAAGTAAAATAATTTTCATTTTTAAAAATTTGAATAAATTATTATGTTATGTTTTAAAATAGTACATTATACAATAAAAATTCCAAATATGACTATAAAATTGTAAAATCGTATTTTTAAACATACCCTCATGAATATTTTTTCTGCTTTCTTGATATACAGTTCGATCAATTAGAAAAATTATTCGAATTTTTAAAAATCCGAGCCTTAATTATTATATGTTACCTACCTATTATGATTGTTTTATTCGTTGATTTATATGTCAACGAATACTATAATTAATCTAAAATTAATTATACTGATGAGGGAGATGATCGTGGTGGATTACATAAAATCGTAAGTATTACCGCTCTCATCAGGGTGTATACACTATACAGGCATTAACAAATATTTTATGAGTTTAAACATAGCATTACGTGACTAGAACAATAAGCCGATTGCCGCATCTACCTCAGGTGTTCTTCGGGAATGAATGGTCGTTCAATGACAAAATGTCTTGTTCTAAGTCACGAATTTCTGGAAAAAACTGAGTTCAACGTCATACATTAGATACACAATAAATCAAAGAAAATACCATAAACAAATCTCAATGACAATGACTGGTTATAATAGCCATAATTATTATTCTAATATTTTATAGTAGGCACATTTGTGGTTTAACGAGTAATAACTTATTCGCTGATATCCAAAAAGAACATGTCTTATCCTCTTAAGGAAATATAATATTAATATGCAATAACTACTAGATAATATATTTACATTAAAATGAATCTTTTATAGATTATAGCCAACAAACGTTAACCATATATCTAGGTATGTCAAGATAAAATGTACCTGTAAATAATACATCTCATAAAATCTGCAAAACACGATTGAACATAATATACCTTTTTAGTAACATGATTAAACATAGCAAATTACATTCAGCGTTGCCACATTCAAACCGAAATTTTGTAATTTAATCTTTAATTTTTTGGACTTATGCCATGAAATTTGACAATGTAACCTAAATTCTGTAAGAAGCAAATTTCGAAGAAGTACAAGGAAAATCAAACTCATTTTTGTTAGTGTTTACAGATTTATAAAATTAATTTATTCACCTAATCCTTATGCCCATATAATGATTAGAATATTGCTACTCGAAAAACAAACGAAAATTCTGATTAAAATTAATTTGGTTAAATATAATTTCAAAACTTTACAAACTGCTAAGAAAATTTTAAAATGTAATTAAATACTAAGGCTTTCAGCCAATATTCAAATCATGAAAATACTGAATTTTTCTATTTTATTAAAAATACCAAGGTATAAGTAACAATTTTAACTCCGCCTTAGATAATAGCCTAGTCTGGTTATGTATTTATTATTATTATTATTATTAATAAGTCAATAATATATTGCATGTAACCTAGTATTGACATGGTGGTTGGCCTTAGTCACTAACGTGTTCCTTGACCTCAAGCATCGGCCGGTATCGCTGCTAGCTACTATATGGATGACCACCCGGGTTTTTAGTGATAAATCCTCGCAATATACATAAGTATTCCAAAAACCATTACCTCTCCCACAGTAAAAGCTGATTATAAACTAATAACCATTGCTGTTGAAGCTTAAAATCTATAAAAAAAAAAAAAAAAAAATTCATTGCATATGACCATAAACACATGTTATTTTTAATTTTTACCACATTTAATCGTAATTATTTGAATTAATATTTTTTATGTGATATAGTTATTCAGAATTGTTTAACATGACAAATGACAACATCATAAAAATGTTTACGCTCAATAATTGAAAAAATGTTCTTTTATATTTCAAATCCTTTGATACTCCTACACATTTGTTTAATCGTGCAGTAAAAAATATTATAATATACTCAACCGTGTAATATCCCATAAATCATAATATTTGCTTTAAGTGGCGTGCATATACAAATTTTTTGTAAATGGTAAAAGAATAGATGAATCAGTGTAAAAAACCTTAACGTACATACAAAATTAAAAGTTTTAAGGTTTATATTGTCCATATTATCTTCGGTTTATTTTTAAATACTGTCAATTTCAATCGTTCCGGTAGAATTTATTAGTTTTATTATATCTACTTTAAATATAGAAAATCGATATAAATTATGTCTCAGTCATAAAATATAGTCGTAGTATACTCGACCAATTAACTTTTTAGTTAACCAATTAACTTAAATAAAAAAATAAAAATAACTTTTAATTAACTTGGTTAATTAAAATGTTAAAAAAAAAAACCAAATGCAATAATTACAATTTATTAACTAAAAATAATCTAATTAAATCTAATTGAATTCATTATTAGGCCAGAGTCGTTACAATCTTTAAGTAAATCATACAAACTTGAATTTTTTTAAATCTTAACACTTACGTTTTATATTAAATGGCCTTGTAGTTTTCTATAATTTTTTTTACGATTATTACTGAAATATTAATACAAATATACAATAGTAAATATATATATTTATTCTTTTAAAATGCTAATATTTATAAAGTTGACAATCAACTTTTTGAATAAAAATCAATAAAATAATAAATTGTTTACGTATATTTTATATTCAACATACTATTACTACATCATTAGACCCTTTACTCTACTCACTTCTAACAGCTCTTTTGTTTTCTCAAGATCCGATCGAAATACATCCACCTTCATTAAAGTTAATTTTCTTTATAGTAAAAGGCTTGTTTCTTACGTTGGCAACATAATACTAAATAATATATAGTATAAATATACTATATTTCTCACAATAATAAACTCTTAAGATGTAATAAAAATTTTATTATTCATCAAATGTAGGATGTCTTAACCTTGATGTTTTCTTATGACTTAAATTTAATTTACAACCACTTAATACGGATATATAAAGAAAAAACAGTGAACTCCACCCAGAATATTTTCGAATGTAATTATTAACATAATAGATAAGTTTCTTAAAAATCTAAACCGATTTAAAAAAATAAATAAAGTGAATTACTTACGTATGAAACATTACTTACTGCACACACATTACATTTGATAATATTGTCAAAAATAAATAATAAATAAATAAATAATATTAACACATTCCTGTATTGCAGTATTAAATACATTTCCGTATAACACATAGTGCATCATAAATTAAAATATATTTTTTTACAGTTTTCGAAGTGTTGGATAACGATACAATAACTGACTTAACGAGAGAAATTCAAAATGGAAAAGTAATATTATGTGATGATTTAGACGAAATGGAAAATGGAATGGCAACTTCTAAACTTTGTAAGTTTTTCTAACTTTTAACTAGGTAGACACTTCTTATACATAATATGTTATTATTTATAAGATGAATAATTAAATAATAGATAAAAATTAATATCTAAATTATTTATTTACTTAGGTCGTAACGACACACTAATTACATTACCACCAGTCTTCGATAATGAATTAGATAAAATCGAAGCGGAATACCCATCATCTTTCAGTACACAATTCTCTATACTGTTAGCAAGAAAAACCAAACAATTTTCTAGAAATACAGTAAGTTTAATCATACCTGAAGTTTTTTACACCCTTATCCTTTCTCTTTTCCTTTTCCTTACATTTTTGTTGGAGTTACTTACACAAAACCCTTTAAAAATCATTATTATTTCACATAATTTTGATCACAAATTTATCCTTTTCCAACATAGTGATTAAAAACAATAAATCCCATTTAAATTCTTACAATTTTAACGATTTTTTTAAATTTGTTTATAAACAGATTGGATTGTGGATATCTTTTTTCCACCATACGTTTTCAGCATTACTTCTTGGAAGCATTTACTTTGGGATCGGAGTAGATGGAAATCGACCATTTGAAAATTTCAAATTTTGTATCAGTGTAATCGTTTTTTTCGTTTATACTCACGTTATGGGTCCAGTACTTACATGTAAATTAACTGCAATTAAATATTAATTATTAATGAATTATTAAATGATAATTCATTTTTTAATTATAATTATTTTATATACATAGTTCCATCGGAAGTTAAACTATTGCGACGAGAATACTTTAATCATTGGTATAGTCTCAAATCGTACTTTTTTGCATCCGTTATTACATCATTACCAAGCATGGTAAGTAAAAATGTTTTATAATTCTTGAAAATATAAGTTAATTTACATTGTGCTTTTTATATTTCCTTTTAGATATTATTTGGAACATTATTTCTTTCAATTGTATACTTCATGTCTGCACAACCAATTGAATGGATTAGATTCAGTCAGTTTATGGCTATAGGACTATTTACTGGTTATACATCTGAAGGATTAGGTATTCTCATCGGATCATCAGTGAAAAATTCCGTAAGAATAATTATATATATATATACATTTATTAAAATAACAAAATATTTATTAAAAAAAAAAAATCGTACATCGTATAGAAAAATATTGATTTATTTTGTCTTTCAATATCAAATAACTATGCTTTTTCTCATAATATAATATTATTAATCAAACTACTTGTTAGCACAAGAAAATAAGCAGTAAAATTTATAACAACATAATAATAGGCCTACATTTCTTGATTTTCAAATATTTTTATGTACCTAATAATTCCGAAAAATTACGTTCTTAAAAAACGATTTTTTCACAACGAATTGTCAGCAGATAATTCTTTTTTTTTTTTTACTCATCTGTCAAACGATTCACACAAAAAGGTGGTTCTCATTTGAAGTATATACTTGTAAATTCCAAAAATCAGAATTCGAATAAATGATATATTAAAGGAGCAAATGACTGCGGGCATACAACACTTAAATCGAAACTATTAACACGCTATTCTGTTACTATACATAATTCATTTCGAATGCAGTTGAACTTTTTATTTTATGCCCATCAATGATTATAAACACTTTATCGATTTAAATTCCTATAACTCCCAAGCCTTGCGATTTAATCGTTACCGCCGGTCTTCAAATCGCACCACCGCATTTCTCGTGTCATCGTAAAAACGTCATTATTACCTATAGGTATCTTCGTCGTCGTCTTGACCAAAAAAAAAATAATAATAATTACATCGTTTTTCGCGCTCTATACTTGCAGACCGGCGCCGTGTTGACGCCCGCGCTCCTGGCGCCGATGCTCGCGCTGGCCGTGTACGGGATGGGCTACGGGCTGGCCATCGAGCCCCTCATGGAGTCGCTGATGGCCACCAGCTTCCTGAGGTACGCGCTGGTCGGCGTGTGCATTTCGCTGTTCGGCAACGGGCGCGCGGACATGGCGTGCTACAAGGACGACCTGTACTGCCACTACAAGAGCCCGAACCTGCTGCTCCGGGACCTGGGCATGAGCGGCCGGTCGATCGTCAACCAGTTCATCGGGCTGGCCCTGTTCGGTTTGTTCTTCAGGCTGGCCGCGTACTACGTCATCAGGCTGAGAATGATGAACCAGTCGCTTCGCAAGATACCGCTGTACTTCAAGAAGTTTCTGCGCGGCGGCTAACAGGAGAACTCGTCGGCCGGCTTGCCCGCGTCGCCGTTATCATCGTCATGTATCGTCATCGTAGTGTTCGGTCCCAAGTCACGTCATCGACTCACACTCGGGCGCCGTACAGTGCCTATCTGTATGATTTAAGAACACGGTGTATTGTACCGACGGTAGACACGTCCGAACATGCGAGGCAAGATCAGTTGTAATTTTATGATGACGGCGACACGCCACAGCACTTACACGATAATATTATATTTACGCTATAATCGTCGCGCGTTATGTATTGGACTTCTGACGAGTACAGATAATACTTACGATTAATATTATGATATATATTTTATATTTTATTTATACAATCGATTTTTTTATCGCTCCGGTTTCGTTGAGCGTAATCGACATAATATTAAGTTATATATATTGTAAGTTGTATTTATGTAAAATATTCGTGTGTACCAATAGTACCCCTAATTATTGTTTTGTAATTTTTTTTTTCTACGTTTTATACCTATTGGCTATTACAGAGCGTTTTTGGTAGTTTCAGTGTTTAAAAACTTTTCGTAATTGTCCACGAACAGCTTTAGCTCCTAAAACATTAATTTAAAATCACAAAAACTCTTCTAGTTATATTTATTATACGTAATATTATAATGATAATCATGTGTACATTGGGTCGTGGAAATATTTTTAATACAAACCTCTTGTTTTTTTTTCAACGATTCGTCTATCAATGGGTCGGCGTAATTAGTGTCGTTCAATGGATCTGTATTCTCTGTATTCGATGCTTGTGCGCCAGATTCTATTGAAATCTATAAATGTGAAAAATAATTTAACGATAAAAATAAATATAACCTAGCCAATAGAACTATCGTTGAAAATACATTTTATATTTAATTATGATTTATTAATTTATTATATTTTATGTTATGACACTACTTGAAATATATTTATTATAAAGCAAAAATGTTATATCAAATGGTTGGCGTTTATTTATATAATATATATAATATGTATGTATATATATATATATATATTTAATATGTTAGTGTATTATTAAATTTAAATAAAACCATAAAATTAGTAAAATATTTGAAATCATGTGTTTATTGGTTTATTTGTACTACCAACATATGTCCCTCTAACTAAAATAATTCTGAAAAGTAGTAAATCATTATTAACAAAATTTAAACCGAGTACAAATAAAACTATAAAATATTGAACATATTTATTTGCTACTTCTTCGCTGCCATCGTTTATTGTAGTATAAAATTCAATACATAACATAAATAATAAGAAATTAACAACAATTATTATTTTAAATTTTAAGTGAAATGTAAATTTTTTGAGCTATTGACAATATTTCTATGATATAAATATGTTTTGTCTGGCTAATTTCTTTATTTTCCTTAAAAACAACCACTACTTACAACTTAATATTATCAGAAAAAAATATTTTTTTTAATATTTTTCATGAAATAAATTACGAATTTGAACATTCTTCAGGGTTAAAAATGCGATGATTATGTTACACAATTACTATTTATATATTACTTATACATTAGACATTAAATTTAAAATGATTTATTGTACACTTAAAACTATATGGAGACATTAGTCCCCCTGGAATTTTTTCCCACTTTAAGCCTTGTTTATAATTATAATATTATAACGTTCCTTAAACATTTTTAAAATTAAAAAAGCAAGTTCAACGGAATTTCATAAATATTTTTTACAAGCATCAAACCTAAAAATGTAGACAAATTTTGTGAAATTTATATGAAAACCATTTTGAAGTTAAAAATTCCTAAAATATTTAATATTTGTACCAAACATTTAAAAATTTTTTATTGTTAAAGCTATTTAAAAATATTAAATTTACATTAATGCGATTTTTTTTTTGTTTATAGATGTTTTAAGTTAAAAAATTAAAAGAAGAAAAATAGATGTAAGGTTAAGTATTATAATAATTTTAATTATTTTATTATATCCAATTCAAAAATACTATTTATTAGGACTTTAAACTTTTATTTATATATAAATACACACGACATTTATTTAGATTAATTTTATGCTAATTGTATAAATAATGCCACGAATCTATTTACACCATTCTACGGTAAATCAGTATTACTCAAAATTTAATAACAATAATTGAATAATAAATTACTAAAATGTAGGAAACTCTTCTGTACTTTAAGTGTCAAGTAGGTCACTATTAAAAATATATTAAATTTTAATTCAATGATATATTATTGTTACGGAACGCGATTCTAAGTAATGATGGACACAACAATTCTCATTCAAGACAGTTCTTTAGAGTTAGCAATTCAAAATCTACAATTCTCATTAAATAAAATAACTATCTGGTTCAAAAAACGAAAGTTGAATCTAAACCTAACTAAAAGTGAAATCAAAATATTAACCCTTAAAATATATGACAACCCTCTCCTCAAAAACATACACATTAACAACCAAGTCATTCAATGAAATAAAAAAGGCAACGTAGTCAAATACCTAGTCAAGCACAAAGACTCGGACGAAGCCCGTCATTTTCAACTAAGAAGAAAAACTCAAAATAGGCGATTGTGATCTTGACTACCCCAAGACATCCTCCAAACAGACATAGAAGAAGCTCTCATCGGTAGAAGAAAATATTCAACAATATAAAAACCTATAACTACAAATTATTATATCTTTGTTTTTATCAGTAATTTAAATGTAAAAATTAAAATAAAATAAAATAAATACTGTTTTACAGTATTTGTAAATAATATTTTAAGATAAATCAAAAATATCAATGAATTTAATAAAATTCAAAATAATTTAATGTACAAAACAATTTTAAGTTCACACAAATCATGTTTTTAAATTATGAAAAATGATAAATAAATAAATAATAATTAACATCTTTATTTATCATTTAAATAAGTAATTTTGTCTAAATTTGAACTTTAATGCATATAAAATAAATTCTACGTATGAATTTTCAATATTATATACAAATATAAGGTCGACTTACATTGGATCTTTTAAATTTTCAAGAATTTGACCTAACATAAATTTTTATCAATATTTATAGGTTATTTATAGTTATAACAAACTAAAAAAATTGAAAATTTTTCCATGTCTAAAAATAGCACACAAATTATGAAAATCATACTATATATAAAAAATAATGATGTAAATATTTTGCGAAAATTTCAAGTGCCTACGATTATTTGTTTTTTAATTATAACAAAAATCAAAAATCTATATTATTAATCATTAAATTCAAAACTAACATTTACATTTACAATTACATTTACATTTACATTTACGACACCTAGCGTACAGTATAACGAATACCTATACTTTTCCCTCCATTTTTTTTCTATTTGGATTTATAAAAGTTGTATATTATTAATCTAATGTTTAACTAGTTATAACAAACATGTTAATATAAATAAATATTACTATATTGTACATTATATATTTCTTATAATATGGTATTAAATTCTAAGATAAATTAACTATACGATACCTACATCGGCTACATCTTAACCTTTAATTTTAAACTCATTTGTATAGTATCTTCCAGATTAGCAAGGGCGTCCCCGGAAATTTTTCTAGGGGGAGGGGGGTAAAAGTAATTTAAAAAATAAATAAAGATTTTTTTTTTATACATTTTATTTATAGTACATTATCATTTTTTGTCATTATTACAATTAGGTATTATTATTATACATTTTATTTTTAGAACATTATTATGTTTCGTCAGTATGATATTAAATTATTACAATTAGGAAACAAATTTAAAATTCTAGGGGAGGGTACGCCCATGCAGATTAGAATAATTTTAAAATTTTATAAAAGCTGTTTAGAAATTCTAGTTGGTTTAAATAATGAAACGATTAAATAATTTTTATAATTTATCATTCAAGCAATATTTTTAAATGATTTATGAGTGTACCAAGGAACCAGTTAAACGCCTTTAATACCTTCACCTTTACTTCAACAAAGAAATTGTGAATCTGCATTCGACAATTAACCTTCTTCTCTAGGATTATCTGACATCATAATTTCATAGACAATATGTAAATTGTGAAAAAATTATTACAAGAAAAATAAAAACATTGAACATATCAGATTAGTAGATTTATATATTTTAGTAAACAATCTACAATCTCTTTTGTAATGATTTTATAGTCACTGTAACCTTGACTTTCAAACAAATTATTCATTAATCGATTTCAAATTATATAATTATTTATTACGTATATATATATATATCCAAAAAGTTTAAAATATAAATTAAAAAATTTCAAAAACCGAAAACAATACTTTTCGAGTATTAAATAATTTTAGGAATATAATTTTTAAGAAAATTCTATTTACTGTTAAAATAGAATTACTTTAGTACCCAAAAAACAATTTAATATTAAAATTAAACTTAGTAACTTAAGATTTATTATGATTTTTAGCTTTTATGTAAAAAAAATCTTGCCTGGTGTAGTTTTTTTTTTTTAAATCATTGAAATGTCTTGTATTAACCACAAGATTTTTAAATTTTTTTTTTAATTTTGAATTTATGAGTAACAAATTAAGTTCATAAAATAAATATCGTAAATTACAAAATAATATGAAAGAATATTCAAAAAGAATATCGTCAGAATAGTTAAAAAATTATTGTTAGGTTAGATTTAATTCAATATATATTATAACATAGATAATATGTTCATTAACCTGTTTAAAATTTGAAGCAAATATATTTTTATACTTATGCATTGATCTAATACTTCCAGCTTCATTGAGATTGTCTATTTTTTCAAAGCAATCAGAACCTGCAGGCACTAAAAGGGCTTTATTTGAATCATAAATATGGTTCTTTCTAAAATAATAATATAATAAAAATGTGTACAACAAAATTTGAAGGACGCATAAGTTAACTTACGGATAAGGTGTCCCAAAGCCGTAATGTGACATCATCTCTTTAGATACCTTCACAAGAATTGTATCATTCACGCTAAAAAAAATCAACGAAGCTCCGCAAGTGTGTGCAACGTATCGTAAACACTGGCACAACACACGTTTTTTAGCAGGTTCGAAATTCTAACAAAGTTAATTATCAGTTCATTATTAAAGTCTTTCAATAATTTAAATATTAATATATAGCTAACAACACCAATAATAAACAAAAAATATATTAATATATAATTCATGTATATAATCTCGTACATTTAAAATTTTAATTAAAATAAAAGAAATGTAAGATACTAATTGCCCAGACTTACTTATTATTGTTCAACACGTAACGTATAATAACTAAAAACTACCAACTATTCATTGGCTATTTATATCCACATTCTTTTTTTTTAACTAGGTACGACATTATATATATATTTTTTTTTTAATTGCCTAATATAACAAATAATAATCGTACTTATTAATCATCAATAAATACATACCTAAGTTAGGCAATTATTTTTAATTTTTAACGTTTTAAAATTTCTATAAGTACCTATGTATTAATGAATTATGATAGGTTTTAAATTCCAAGTGGAGTGATGAATGTATTAATTTTACATTGATGCGTATTTTTATTTTATTTTTTTATTGTATGTTTTAAATACTTCATTTTTCTTTGAAAATATTTTCTGATCATCAACTTTAATAGAAATTTCTGTTAGCAAATTGGATATAGTTAATACTTTTGGGAGATCAAAGTTAAAAATTCTAAGTACTTCTTAAAATAATCGGGAAAACAATAAAGGTTGTAGTAGATAACCGGTCTGTTGTACTGTATGAGTGAAGTGTACCTCGTGCACTGTAATGGATGTGTGTTAAATTTTAATTAAATTATAAATCATTACATGTATATAACGAAAAATGAATCTGAAGGAAGACAATCTAACTTTATAGTAACCAAGATTACTTAATTATTTTAATAATAATTTAATAAGTCTAACAAATATTCTCATTTCCCCCGTTAAAACTATTAATTATGATACATGATTAATATCAGCTAGTATTAACTTTTATTAAAAGTACCTTTCAACTAGTCTAATTCACATCTAAACCTCCATAAAATTTGATAATCAAATCTTTTGTCTATAATAAAAATTGTTTTCGCAAAAATAAAATACAAATACACGTACACGCACACACATCATTACGTATATAATCAAATAATCAATACTTTCAGAATGTAATACAAACCTTAGTTAAAATTTGAATATAAATAGCAACATCAAAAAAAAAAACACATAAATCTATTTAGTAATATATGCTGACAGACCATCTTCTTTCAGAATCAATTTTCGTATACAATAATTTATCATTGAATTTGAATTTAACAACCACATTATATTAACTTAATTATAACATATAAGGTATATTCGATACCTAATAACTTGTACAACAGAGTAGTTATCATTTTCCCCTTTTTAAAAACAATTTTACCTGCAAATTTTCAAGAATAATTTTTTAACTCTATTGTACGACATTACACGTATTTCTTAAAAAACTAATTACGAAGAATATTCTAGCCATAATTTCAAACAAATTATTGTAAAAAAAAATTTATCTTTTATTTCAAAAAAAAAAGTGGGTACCGCTCTGTTGTACATTAGGGGGTGGGGTGAACCTCGGACTAGGGTAGATTAAATTTGAATGCAATGATAGGTATCATTGTATACGAAAAACGATTCTGAACGGAGATGATTTGTCAGTCTACGAGTAGGATATATTATATTTAAATATTGTCATATATTCTATTTTAAAACAAATATTTTATTTTTCAATTAGGACGCATTTGCAAAAGTCATGGTTAATCAATTTTTCCAAAAACATTGCATGTAGTTATTATAATTCATAATACCTTAATATATTATCATAGATATACCTGGTATACCAATAGAATGATTGTAGATATCTTATTACACAAAAAGAAATACCATAATATCACAGAACAATATAATATAATATCTAGTTCGTTACCACAATAATCATCTCGTATAATACATATAAGTATAAACATTTTATTATTTTACTGTAGGATTATTATGTATATTATAATCTTTGGTACAATTAATAAGAAAATTTAAAATTTTTAAATTTCCGTGGTTTATTTTTTAATTGCTTGAATACACCAAAATTTAATTCTTTTATAATTATTGTAAGTTAAATTTATGAAAAATCTTGTATTAAATTTTCAACTCTTAACTACTTATACAAAAGCTTTTATGAATTATACCTACAAAATAGTTTGCAAATATTCATGGTTTTGACGAATTTTTGTCAATATTTGAACTTCAAATGCTAATAAAAAAAAATTGTGACTATGTATTCTTAAAATTTTTTGATCACTATAAGAATAAATTATGAGGAACTTTGTATTAAGTTTTCAAGTATTTTGATTGGGCGAAAACAATTTTATCGACACTTCAAAAAAAATTTTCAGAAAAATTGAAAATTTCAGTTGTCTATAAATACCTCGAAAAAAAGTCAAAATATTTTGAAAATTAAATCACGTAAAGAAAATGCTAATCTAAATAGCTGGTAAAATTTTCAAGTATCTACGATTTATACTTTTTGAATATTAACAAAAATTTAAAATCGTTTGAAGATAAATCGTTATCGTTACGCTATTTCGTAAAAATTTAAAATTCAAATGCACTTAAAATTTTTCCTATAATGATGCTTCGACTTTTTACTATAGCTACTTGAAGGAAAACTTAGGGAAAACATAGTGTAGTATTTTTAATCCTTAGTTATAAACATAAAAAATTTTATGATTTTTTCAACTTCTAAATTACTTACAAATTTTCGGGTTTTCGATAGATTTCGTAAATATTTGAACTATAAACACGTTTATAAAAAAAAATTGTGACTAACGATTTTTAATTTTTTTTAGCTACAATAAGAACAACTCATAAGGAACCTTGTATTAAATTTTCAAAATTTTTTGGTCATACAACATATTTTTATTGACACTTCAAAAAAAAAAATTCTCATAAAAATCGATAATTTCAGTGGTTTATAAATAACTCAAAAAAAGTCAACATTTTTTGAAAATTAAACTGTATATAGATAACACTAACATAAACATTTGGTGAAAATTTCAAATATTTACAGTGATTAGTTTTTGAATTACAACCATATAAAAAAATCGATTTAGTCGAAAACTGGTTTTGCGTAAAAATTCCCGTTTTTTTTTTTTTTGTTTTTATCGATTTTTTTGAAAATTGTTGGAAAATGTTTACTTTTTACCTCTATAATGCACCAAGGATATTCACTTTTACATCGGAAATCACCCCCGAAGTTTAAAATTAAAGCATTATTTCGACAACTTATGCTGTACACAGACACAAAAAAAAAAAAAAAAAAAAAAAAACACACATTATTGTAAAATCAATATATTCATCACTCCATTCAGAATCTAAAATTGGTATCATTTGAGTGGTTTAAAACTTAGACTATTGGGTAAAAATAAATAAATAATAAAAGAGATATTCGATCATTTTATGCTAAAATATCACGCTTTAAAAAAATCAATTAAATTAGGCAAAAATGTGTTGTTTTATCTTAGCCCTAATTATTACAATTTCATGTCCTTTACAATAAAGAAAAATATATATTATAACCCTTGTAGGTAATATTAAAAACAATTATTATTGGTTGGTTAATATCGCATAATTATGAATTTATTTTAGTTTTTACTATAACTTTATACATCTCTGTGTTTTTTATTTAAAATATTAAAATAATATTAATAAAATTGCCTTAATTTATTCATATTCTTTTTTTATTTAATTACATAAACTATAACTCTTTATCATCACCACAAGAATGGTTTATAGAAGATGGATAAACCAAATATATAATGCAAATATTTATAAATATTTGTTTTTTCAACATAAATGGTGCGCCGTTTTATCATAAGATAGATTACTTATCCAACACTGTGGTAAGTTAATTTTATGTTACACAATGTTTAATCTCGTAAATCAAACTATATTTAATTTAATTAATCACTCGTCAGTTTTATAACTAGTAACTATAAATCAATTATAAAAAAATTATGTGTGTACATCTTATAATAATTATTAACGTTAAAGGAACATTGATACCTATTAGCTATTATTTATACTATATATAAATTAAAAATATAATTATTTAATTACGGAAATTTAAATTTACGAACATACTTGATAAATATCGTATTTACTTCCAACAATCATTACTGGTATGGGAAGTGGAGACATAAACTTTTTATCCTAAAATGTATAAAATTACTCCTTTTACAGATTGCTTTTGCACGAAATATTAACATAGACTATGCAATTATTTAAGTATAATATAATTATATATATAAATTTTAACAAACCTCAATATTTTTAACATTAATCTGATTATTTTCTTCAATACCTTGTAAATTTTCTAGTTGTGCCTTAACTTCTTCAAGAAGCATTTCCATGGTGTTCCAAAGAACATCCGGCTTTGATAGATCCAACACTAACACGACACTCAAACGTCGGCCTTTCGTTTTCTGTACTATCACAGATAATAGATCTTTAAAAACTAAACCACCGCCCAATTCCCAAACATGGCAAATATCCTTTGTCTGAAACACACATAACATATGCATTAACAACTTTTAAATGATTATAAATACAAATTATTTATTCAATGTGTTCAATATTAGATTATACTGGTCCATTAAACATATAATACCTATGATAATATGTTACTTCTTAAGCTACAATTGATTTTTTTAGTTTGTTACAATATAAAAATATATAAGTTTTTAAAATTTTAAAGCAGTGGTATCAGAATACACGTTGCAATGATTAAGAGAACAATTGCCACAAGCAACCTTTTCTTATTTAGCAATGTTTATAATGTTTTGCATCAAAAATATTATTGAATTGTAATTAAATTTAATCTGAATTATAAATTCTCGTTATTGTTATCATTATGGATTTATTTATTAATCATTAATTTTGTAAAATCATACAACAGCATTAGATCTAAGGTCATACTCCTTTATTTATTTAAATACAAAAAACAACTAGCCTTAAAAAAAATAAAAGCGGCAAAGTCCTAATTAGTTTACAAAGGTACAATCTTAATTGATTTTAACTACATTGGATATTAATTCAATATATAATTATATTTTAACTTAGAATATCTTTATATATCACACATATAATACATAAACCATTTATACTTTCCAGATATTATGTAATGTATAGTTACGTTTAGTTACTTCAACGCTCACCAAAAAATATTATATAAATTATTAAATTATTTTTCAAATTAATTATATAGATTCTAAAATAAACATATGACATATAAAATACAAAATTCATAAATTACAAATACATAATTTACAGTATCACAAGCATTTAATTTTTTATAATAAATTAGTATTCCTCATTTCAATAAAGTATCTAGAATTTAAAAAATGTATTATTTACTTTAAATAATATATAACAGCGTGATGAATAAGAGGAAGTAAATCTATTATTTAAAATAATGCTTACTTAGTATCTGACTATTTATTAATTTGTTTTAAAGATAAATTTTCCATGCGATATAAAGTTTATCATTTTAGACTTTTATTATAAATTATAAAATAAACTTACTAAACTTTTTCCAGATCGTCTTGCGAAAGAATACTCCAAGGCCAATGTAGGTTTTGGTTTTTCGTTTTTGTCAAAAAATGAATGTATCAATGAAGTTTTACCCTAGAAAAATGAATACATTGTCGTCAACAAATATGTTTAAAATATATTTTTGAACTATATTGAGGGGATGAATTCCGCTCATGTTTTTTACCAAAATAAAGCTATCTTATGTGAATTTTATTGACTATTAAAGTAATAGGATAAAACTTCTAAAAACGCAGTTGAATTCATGATGAATTTTAATTCAAAACGAATTTTTTAAATGTCATTAATATAAACTAAAAATAATTCATTTAAAAATGTAAAACAGTAATTTTTAATTTAATGTCATGGCAATTTTAAGCTTTTATAAATGTTGTTGAATTAATGAATTAATTAATAAAGTTGAAAAAATATTGATACTCTTAGAAGTGCAGAAGTAGTCCACTATCTAAAACATTACAGTACCACACATAAAAATGATCACTTACTACGCACACATTTACACCACACTTAAGTAGACTAAGATACACTAACAAAATTGCCTATGTGGAACTCCTTAGAAACGGTCGGTATCAAACTCCATACAACAATAACATGTGCTTTATATTATTTTGTTTTTAAATAAAAAAATTTTTTAATTAGGTAGCTTTTGGACTGTACTATATATTTATATAAGTATAATATTATGAAATTTCCAAAATTTATTGTATAAGTTTTTTTTTTTTATTTTTTTTTTTTTTTAACATTGTAATAGACGATAATAATTGTATGAACACTTACCGTATTTTTACTCCCAATTACTAATAAAGTTCTCTCTACCGGTACCATATCGGATGCAATACTCTTTGAAGACATAGCCAATTCGAGTATGGTTTGACCATTTCTAATAATAATATTAATATAAATTGTATTTAATTTATATTATATAAATAAATTATTAATGGACAATAAATAATGAGCAATGCATAATGATATTGCTAGTTTTAGAATGGAATTTTTTTAATTGTTTATAAGATGAGTAATGTAAACTTGATATCATAAAAAGTGCTTCAAACATTTCATATCTCACAATATTATTGTCTTAAATAAAAAGAAAAGTAATTTGATAATAATAATCTTTAATTATACTACTTATTTAAAAAAAAATATTTAATATTCTGATCTCTCTATAAAATAATTTAAAGGAAGTAAAAAAAAAAAAATCACTGCATTTAGTATATATAATAAGTATTTTATTCTCGTGCAAGGTTTTAAAAAATGTTAATATAGTATTAAATTGTGCAATAAAAATGAATAAAATAGATTTACATAAAGGAAAACAATTAATATTTTTAAAAAAAAAGATAAGAAGAATAATTATACAAAATATTTTATTATGTGACGACTTTTATAATTTCCCTGTATATGTTACAGTAATATTTGACAAATCACTAGGTTAGGTAACTTACTAACCTTCAAAGTGCACATATAAATGAATTATTTAAACAATTTCAAATACATTTTAATACAAGTATTTAAATAATAATATAATGAATGTAATCTAATGTTTAAAATATTAATTAAACATTTTTTTTTTTTTTTTTTTTTTTTTAACAGACAATGTCTATAGTTTTGTCAATAGTTTTTCTTGATAAAAAGAAAAAAATTAACGTTATATTGATAACTATTTTTCAGAAGCATAAAATAATATTAAATATTTTCAAATTAATAAATATGTTTTAATGTTTTAACAGGAATAATAAAATCATTAAAAATTTATAATTTTATTTTAGAATTCATCGATAAATATCAATATCAGACATTTTTGGTTCTATTATAACTTTATTATTTTATATTAGGTAAATTAAGTTTAAAAAATTTACCTATATTTTAATTTTTGAGAATTGAGAATTTAAAATCGACTTTTTTTTATAATAATAGGTACCCTAAGTGAGTGTATATAATTAACAAATATTATTTCAAAATATCACCTAATTAAATTTAAACAATACGATAATTTAATCGTACAATAATTAATCAATGAAAATATAAACACAATAGCTAAAAACAAATAATAATATAGATATTATTAATTGTGCGCAAAAATGATAATTCTAATAAATTATTAACACCCTATAATATATTTAGTGAACATCAAAAACAAAAAATTGATTTATAAATTAAAATTACAAATAATACATAAATAACTAAATAATGCATAGATGTATTACTTGTATGAAATTTATCATCGTTATTGCCTAGTAATGACTAGGATCTGAATTATCATTTTTAACGGTGACACTGTCAGTACTCTACGCTTAAAATAAAGCACAAATTTCAATGAGAACGCTTAATACCTAGTATCTACGTTATAACACCATTAACTTTAAAGAATACTATAATTATTAAATTTTAATAGGTTATATGTTTATGACGTATACCTACGCAATGAATCAAATATATAATAATATATATCATGCATTTTACCATTAAAGATTTAAATGAAATAATTAATGTAAAGTATTGCCAGCTATAGTCAATATGCAGATATATTTCTAGACTTTCTAGTATTAGTAAATAATTTATCAGTACCTACATAGGCGCATGATATAACTTTAAGAATTAAGAAATAAGTAATAAGTAATAACATAAACTGATACATGATATTCAGGCATTGATCATTGATGCATTTAACAATATTTAACAATATTTTTGACCTTATCGATAATAATACCGTGTCAATGAAATTATAATTGCGTTATCAAATCACTAAATCTAACATTGCGGCTACTGACTAACGATAATGGCGTACTTAGCAAAATAATCATCAGGCATCATCGTAAGTATATAACAAGGCCGGATAAACTGTGCTCCACATAGTAAATTTAAAGTATTATTATTACTGTAAGTAGCTACTATCGCTTAATAACTTCTGTCGAAATTATTAAACTGTTTGATCATATTGATATTTATGTGTTAATATTTTGATATGATCGAGATTGAATAAATTAGAGGAAAATTCAAAATAATTGCTATTTTCTCATTTATTTGGTATAATTATAATTACGACTGTCAGAAGAAAATAAATGATCTTTTGTTGAACTACTGGCTGCAACATTCCAAAATCAAAATAAGATATTTAATACACTTGTAAAACAGGATGTATAATAAGTAATCAAAGTCCTTGTAAATGAAATAATGTATAATGAAATTTGAAGAGTAATATAACAATTAGATATTAGTCTGTTTAAGGCAATTAATTACAGTAAATAATTAAATATAATTAAATTATGTGATATCATAATATCAAAATGTAAAAAGGTCATATATCTACACCTATATATATCTATACCTATTCAATATTATATAAATGTATAAATAATTTAAAAAATAATATATTTGATTTTCACAACATTAAAAAATATATAATTGTCTATTTATGCAGAGGCATTATATTGTCAATTAATGTCACATATTAAACATTAGTACTTGGCACTTACATCATTAGTTAAAGACTAAAATACATCATTTTCACGGTAACACATATAAATATATGTAGAAGTGTATAATAACTGAACCTCATTAAATAATTATAAATAGTGTAGCTTACCTCACAGACGTAGATGTCATTGTATTTCACTAAGACCATCTATTATGGACAATGCAGTTCAAATTCGTTAGTTATTGATGATTACGTTGTTAGCGACCATCTGAATTCTGAAATGCATTACTTTGGGTCAAAACCATGTGTTTCTGGCTATGTATATACACTGGTCGCCATGGTTGCACCTATGATAAATGTACGCCCTTAGACATTTTTTTAACAAATATATCAATATCATAAAATGAACATAATATAATTTTGTAAAATATTATTCATATTTCCTAGTGGAAAAACGCAGAACTTGATCGGAACCACTTTTATGTTTGCCGCGTTAGATACCGGAGAAAAAATAACAACTCATATAACAATCTCGACATCAATTAATATATTTTCTAGACTAAATACATCTTAAACTTGTTAGTGTTTATTAATGAATAAAATTAATGTTGCTATGAAGTAAATCATTGTAATTGTTTCGCAACAAGTTTCAATCCAACAAAAATTATAGCATATTATGATTAGATATGTCATTAATAGAAAACGGAATTTATTGTATAAAAGAATCAAATCATGTAAAAAAAATTAAAAATATGTAAATATCAAAAAAATGTATTAGCATTAAAAATTACAAAAAAAAAAAAAATATTATATAAATAAAAGTAATATAAACGATGTAGATGTATAAAACTATGAGTAATATTCCGGAACAAAGTAATGAGAAACAACATATTGTTGAAGGTTTGCGAATTGCGACGGTTTTATCGAAGAATAAACTTGTATTGCGACTAAAAGACTGTTCTACGTCAAAAGACGTGATAGGGGCATAATTCATGTTTACTATATTAGAAGGAGTGAATTCAATGTCCAGAAATCCTTGTTGATGTTTACCAATTAAATATTTATGATGATTTTAATAGTTTGAAATCCAGAATTTTTTCCATTTATATTAGCAAATTTGTTTTTAACTATTTCTCCCGTGTTTCCTTGAGTTTTTTCTAATTTATCTGCAGATTTTTCTACAACACTAATACTTTTTATCAAAGACATGTTTAAAGTTTCTAATTGTTTAATTGTCTGAATCAAAAAACAAAAATTTGCAGAAATGTATGTAAGTTTTGCATCAGTGAATTTGCTTTTTCAATAGCTACGGCCAGTTTAGTATTGAAATGCCATTTAGATAATGTATAATATTTGGTGATCGTCAAAAATTACTATTCTTGTTAATTTAGATGAAGTAGATAATGTTTATGATCTTCAAAAATTAATGAAAAAATCAAAAATTACTAAAATATGTACTTATTTACCAAATATGTAAAAATATATAAAATAACTTAGGGTTAATTTTTAATTTAAATGATCTAAATCGCATACTTTTTTTATCAGATTTAAGATATTTCATTCCAATAAAAATATGTATTTACAATAAAATCCGTTCCTTAGTTATAAATTATTTTATTTATTTGTGGCTTGCATTTATTGGCGGTAGGTAGTTAAGAAAATGCAGAAACGGATACCCCTCCCTCGCATTCATTAAAACGACTAACACGAGAAACATAAATATGCAACAAACGCATTCCATTTTAAAAACAAAAAGTATACAATTTATAAACAATAAAAAAAAATGCTAAAGAAAAGTTTTTTAATATAAATAATAAAAAACTAAAAAGAAAACTAGATCTGTTCAAGAACATTTAGACAAAACAAATATTTTAACTAACTTTATTTTTTACTGTAATTATTAAATATTTCTAAATTAGTTTTAGGCAGGGCTGGGCACTATCTTAGATACTAATATTTAAGATACGTATCTTAGATACAATTGTATCTTGTATCTTGTATCGAGATAAATAATTTTGATGTATCTTCTATCGGGTATTTAAATACTTTATTGACTTGTATCTAGTATCTTTTTATGGTTAAGATACTAGATACATTCAAAAAATATGTTTTATATTTCATTTATATAACAGTTTTCCTAATTGCCCAATAAGTAATAATATGTTTTAAGATTAGATTAAAGTAACTTTGGTGTCTGGCGATAATATTATATCAGCGATAAGATTTCGTTGATCACCGGTCGCCGATTGACGACTGTCGGTTCATATTCTCTGTCTGTTTCGTACGTATTATGCATCTGTGCGGTGATTGTGTAGATCGACAAAGTGACAAAAAAAATTAAAATTTGTGCATTGTTTTAATATTTGTAAATATTAATTTAATAACTAAATATCTGTTATTAAAAACATGGATAACCAAAATAATGCAATTGTAATTGTTAGGTAATATTCCAAAATGCTTAGATGGCAAATTTTATACGATTTTAAATTCTGATGAAATAATAAATGTGAATTCTAATGTAAAAGCTATGTGTGTAACATGTAAAGAGAAAAAAAATTTTCTTTTGCTGGGCTTATTCATTCTCCATGTAGATCTAGTATGTCAGATGATAGTTTCAAAAAATTAGTCTCTTTAAAAGGTAACCAGGAATTTATCTCAAAACATGGGATGTAAATAATATAATTAAATATTTATATAAATCACCTACATTTCATAAATAATAAGTAAACATTGCTAACTAATAAATATATATATATTTTTTTATAACGTTTTTTTATTGTGTACGTAATTTTTTTTATAGACTGTAAATCTTTTTACCTATTATTAGTAATATTATTTTAAGCGTATCTATTGTTATTTGAAATTATATTATTAATTACCAATGCATACCGTATTATTATACATTTATAAGCTATAATATAATATAAATTATATATGATAAAATTGTATCCAAGGTGAATTAAGAAATTAATAAAAATAAATAAATATATTAAGTATCTTGTATCTTATAGGTATCTCAGAAACATGTATCTTGTATCTAGTATCTTTAAAAATATTATAGTATCTTGTATCTTGTATTTAGATACTAGTTATAAATGTATCTTGAATCTTGTACTTAGATACTTTTTTTGAGGTATCTTGCCCAGCTCTGGTTTTAGGCTATTAAAATAAACATAATTTAATATTTATTAATCAATACGCTTTGCATTTATTTTATATTAATTTCTATAATCATTTATCAATTTATTTATCCTTTTAAATTTATTAATTTAATAAATAAATATATATCACGAAGTTGTAAATACAGAAGTTTAATTTCAATTATTACCTTAATATTTATTTGACTAATATTTGATACTTAAATGATAAAAATGTGTATAAGTCATGTGTTTAATGTGTTTTAGTTACTATTATCTCTCAAATTTTGCATCAGTTTATCAGTTACTATATTTTGAATAATTTATTTCATTTTTACGATACTCGTAATACATATACAAATCTATTTGTTCGTGTATTATACATTAAATAACAAATTAGAACAAGTAACGACTAAATAAATATAATTGATAAAATATAAAATATACATAAATATGCAATATTTATATTCAAAACAAAAGTCTGTAAATGTTCCTTATAAGTAGTCAAGTAGGTACTGCTTGTGAAAAGATTAAGCAATCTTGAGTAGTATCCAATTAGCTAAAACGAGTTCATTATATTATTGCGATTCATGATAATTAAGTAAAACAATATTCATCGTTACTTGATTGTCCGGTTGTTTTGTCCTTTAAGCTTAATATTTTTTGTTTTCCTGTTTTAAATTCTACGTATTAAATAAATTATTATTTTATACCTACCTAGATAAGTGCAAACCGTTTGTAATAAAAAAAAAAGACATTTTTAATTTTCACTTATTTTTGTTTCATTACTTATTAAAAAAGTATAAAAATATAAACAATAATATTATTAATTCTGAGGTCAACATTTAAAAACTAAAATATTCTATAAATACCAAACTTTATCAACTACACCTAATTTTAAAATAAAAATATTTAATTAACATCACATAATAATAATAAAAATTAATGATTAACGTATCTGGACTAATAGCATTCAAATTGTGCTAAGCCTATTATCGAGTACAAACCACCTATGCCTTTCAATCCATCTCCCATCAAAAATAACATCTACCATAATACGTCTCAAATCTCTACACAAAGACTTATAAAATTTAAATAGCTTTTACTACAACTAAAGTCTACTAAACAAAATTTTACAATAGACTAAACCCATACAAGCCCATTAGTCTTGATATTTTAGCCAGTAAATCCATTCCTAAAAATTCTCCACGTCGAAAAAATGTTGAGTGATCGATGTTGGTGAGCCATCTTATATCACTTTATGTTGTTATGCTATTTAAGTTATCAAATTCACTTACTGTACAACTTATAATTACAGATTGTGAAAACTTTTTTATTTATAAATTTTCATAAAAAAAAAAAAAAACATTTTTAATCTGTGAGTAACTATTATTAATTATCGAAATATGATTATATATTATTAAATATTGTGTTCAAAAATAAGTAATTTAGTATTCAAAAGTCCAACAGACATAATTTTTAGCCTAAAACGAATGTACTTAGTACTTACCCCACCTATATACATAAATGTATATCAATTAACCTAATTTAAAGTGTTGTTATCAAACAATACTAAATAATTGTTATCAATAAAGTTTATAGAAGTGATAAAATAGCTTATTACACATTTTATAATATCTCTTATTAGGAAAAACATTGAAACGCAAACATGTCTTTTTATTAATTACAGTAATGAATGATAGCAACCGATAAAAAAATGAGACAGAAAAAAGCATTTTACGATTTACATCATATATAGACTCCAAACAAATGTCATGGGTATTAAATAACATCAATAATATTTCTATTGTTTTGTGAATTTTCCGAAAATTAATTTAATTATACATCTATTGACTTCTATTATTTTTATCATTACCTTTTTCAAATATTTTTATATTATCATTAATTACATTAAAATCGGTATGATTTTATTAAAAAAAAAAAAAAAAAAACAGTAAGTTATATGTACCTATTTGTTTAATATTTTTTTTATTTATTTATTTAACCTTGTCATCGATGGCCATTAAATATTTTACATAATATACATATACATGGTTTACAAATCCAGTTTTGAGTTGTTAAAGAATTTATTCCACTGTTATAATATGTTGTCCGGGCAAATCACAGGGTAAAACTACGAATAATAAATCAAAAGAAAAATTAAATTCTTATACTTCCCTATTATTATGTTATATTTTATAAGACATTAATTCTAATTTTCTAATTATAATTTAGATCAATAATCCAACTAATCAGAATTAGGTATTCTACTTAGGCATACTCATTAGTCACTAGATTTAGGCCCAATCTATTCACTACATTTTCTGTCGACACGTAAACCGAAAATATTAGAAATTTCAATGATATAGTATTAATAAATTTCAAATCACCATTTTAGACTGCAAAATAATATGATTTCGAATACTTGGGCGCAATAATGAATATTTTCATTCTGAAAACAGAAACACAGCAAAAGATTAATAGTTTATATACATATATATATATATAATTAAATAAAACAAAATTCTCAAATTTTACAGTTAACTTATATTTATTAAATATGCATATAGTGTACAAATAATTTGAACGATATGTATCAACAAAATAATGTCGAACAAATTATGTGTCGACTAATTAGAACGTCACAACTCATACTTATATCATAAAATTAATAAATAACAGAAAATAAATTAAATACAGAACATATAAATCAAAACAATTTTTTAAAAGTATAATAAAATACATATGATGTATATTAAATAGTTGGTCATAAACAAACATGATCAGTCGAAAAATGTAAAAAATAAAAATTAAAAAACACTGTAATACCTATATTTAAAATAGTACTTAAGATATATAAAAATATAATACAAATATAAGATATAAGATATCACAGACACACGCGCCAAAAAAACAGAAACTGAACTTTTCTAATTGTAAAACGTAAATACTAATCCTAAAACAATATGAACACTAAATAAAATATAAAATAACACATAAATAAAAAAGATAGTAACGTATTCAAAACAAGTATAATTTCCATATAATTGAAATTACAATATTATTATTGATCTCAATTTATAATTATAACTAATAAAATATGTATTTATTTAAAAATATTACATGTCAGAAAAATATTACCAAAACAAATTCTGTTTTTTCTTCGTCCATTATTTTTTCAATAGAAAACCGGAAATTTCTGATTCTTAGATTCTTAAACAATTTCCAAGATTAATATTCTTATGAAATAAAACTAAATATATAGTAGGTACTATAATAATTAATTCTTGTACAATTAACTAATATACCTTAACCTAAAACTCTACTTTTATTTATCATAAAATAAATATATATCAATTTACCATAGTATACTAAGGACTAAGGTATAAAATTGGTTATTATTTTAGAGCATTTATTGTATTGATTTGTATACACATGGTATCACTACATTTTTATTGGTTGTCCGACAATATTTAGCGGGAATAAGAATCGAACCTTTTTCGTTTATAGCGGAAATGTGCTGTGTAAAACAGAGAACTGGTTGTTTGGCGAATTACTCAGTTTGAATTGTACATACGCTATTACTTGTTTGGAGCTTACTCGCATTTCCGTTAAAATAAAATTAGATTTTAATTTTACAGCACTAGCTTCTCTATAACAGTATTAACGTATCATGTCGTTTATTTAAGTATTAATAAATTTGTAATTCAAGAATAAATAGTACAATATGATTAACTTAACTTAATTCAACTTAACATTCAATCATGTGTTAGTAAGTGGAAAACACAATTTTAATATCCCACTTGTGTATGATAATATTAATTCGTACAAGTACCAAATAGAGTAAATAGGCATTAGACGTCATATTCTTTTTCTATGGGCATCAAAAATTTTGATGAAATGAATTTCCACACGTTTTTCGCCAGTAACTTTTTTTTTTTTTTTTATTTTATAAAATATAATTACAATCTATACAGCAATTTTGTACAATAAGTAATATTGATAAAGTATTTACATAATAGCGTGATTAACAGATGGGGGAGGGCACTCAGTACTACTGAGTCAGTAGTGCCACCCGTAGTGCCAGTAACTAAAGCACAATTTTATTTTAAAATTTAAAATATATTATGTCGATGCCTCGACCTCAGTTATTGGGTCATCGTTTATTCGTGTATGACGTATATCTATTACCTATGCACATATGTATAAGGTGCAGCTGAAGCATGATGTCGTACATGCATTCTAAGCAAAATATTTATTTACGATATTCTAATTTCTAGATATGATAAATCATGAACTATCATTACTGTCACACAAACACTATTAAGAAGGTACGTTGACAAAATAATTATTTATAAATTTATTATCAAATATGAATTCTCAGCGTATAATGTCACATTGCATAGCCGTCACCTATTTGTGATCGCGTCTATTAAAATTAAAATAATAAGTTATGTTATAATTTATAATTAATGATAATTAATCTACAATTTCTAATTGAATGTTAAACGCTGAACGACCACAACAGATATTGTCGGTTAACCCCCTCCCACAATAATAAGTATAAGAACAAGTCTTTCAATATAAAATAAAATAATGTTAAGTAGATTGTTATATGGCTTTGGGCTTTGGCAATTGGGTGTAGAAATTGAATTTTCAAATATATGCAAATAAGTAGGTACGTAAATATTTTGTAGAAATCGTATATTATTGGTAGATTCCTACCAATATTCAATACATGTATGCTAACATTTTATAAATAGCCATCATACATTTAAATCATATTACGTTTTTAAAACCCCCTTAAACATTGATTTAAATAAAATAGCTTAATACACATGGGGTACGGAATATTAATTAAAAATTGTTTTCGATCAAATATTTTTCTTTTATAACCTACCGAATCAAAGAAACGAATTACTTATAATTTTAAAGAACGAAAGTAAGCACCTATAGTAGAAATATCAACGTTTTATGGTGTAATAACTTCATAGTCTCGACATTGTACTATACACAACCAACTATAAATGTTATCGTGATTTTTTTTTGCATAGACTATAGGACTTATGTCGATTGATAATTTTTTTGAACTAAAAATAAAATAATTAATCACGCAGCATAATCTATATGAAAGTGCTAAATTTCATTTCCACTATCACAAACAAAATAATCTACATTTTTCAAATTAGGAATTATTGTGAAGATGTGAAGATCATAATTGATGAAATACATTTACAAGCTAATGAAGTTTAATTTCTTACCTTGTCTCAATAGAAAATTATTTTGGCCTCGTACTACTTGACTTGCCTTGACTTCTTGCAGAGAAAAAAACGTTCGAATAAGTAATTAAGTCAGCTGTTGCAGCTAATAAAAACTATTTGAAATTTAAATATCTAACACGACGCATAAGCATATTATACCTAATATAGAGAATACATTATTACATAACTAGCCCCTACAAAATTAAAAGCTTTAATCATCAGATTTTAAAATTACTCTTCTAGACCAAATACGTGTAATAACATTAACTGTTGAAGAATTTAGGGTCTTAAACTATAATTATTCAAATATTTTTAGGAGGACTTAAAATGCATTGGTAGTCTTTGATAAATTTACATTCGAGTATAACGCACAACTATTATTATAATATAAGCAATTAAACCGTTTATTATACATTTATATTTTGAATTATTAATAGCACTTCCTCATTGAAACATATTATAATGTTTATTGCTAAAAATATATCTACGTTTAAAATGGTACATTCAAATATTTACAATAACAATAATTATTGCAATATGCTTGCTAAATCTGTAGATATAGTCACTATAACTTATTGCATAATTCAAAATCATTCCTTATTTACAGTTCACGTCGTATCATCTTAATAAAATATACCATAAATATAGCCAAAATAAAATGTAGATGGACCTATTAGTTATTACCAAACAATATTCAAATGATATGTAGGTATACCTAAACAATATCTTATTATTTGTTATAACAAAATTGATATTTTCGGTATGTCGTTTTGTATAAATTGTTACATATACACTTACTTAGTCTTACTCAGAATATCATCGTGTACGAGTATAGATCCAATTGTTAAGTAATGTTAACTAAATGTATATTAATCCACATTTAATAATTATAGATCAAGATTTTCCATTCAATCAACCCATTGGACACGGAAGATAATTCTTATGTATAATTTACTACCAAATACTACAAAATATAATATGATATATTATTAAGAATTTTTTTAAAAATAGGATTATTGCTACCTTGTCCCCTCCCGGCACCCACTTATACCTTATTAATATTGCACAATTGGTAAAATATATTTAACTATATTTTCTTACGATATCTTATTAAAAATAGGTACCTATTTACAACTTGACCAAAAAGTTCAATGTTCAAAATGTTTGCATGTTTTACCGAACTGCACAATTAAAAATTGTATACATGTTTACACATAATATCATATTATAAATGTATTAATTATTTTATAATAATTATACTTTATAAAATGTTTACATAAATAAACTTAAACATTGCATTAAATTCCGAACGCTAAATTGATAATAATCTACAAAATAGCATTTTAAATCTCATAATACTCGCAATACTTTAATATTAAAATTTTAACTTGAAGAATATTCATATTAATCACCTAACCACTAATTAACAGTTCATAACTATACAATAATTATAAACCTTCAAATCAGTGTTATGTGTAAATTTTTTCTTCGGCCTCCAATAAAAGAATCAACAATTTTATTAATATTTTTATGCATAAAAAATAATAAAATAAAAATGAATAGTTTTTTAATAAATTTCAACAATGATAAATTAAAAATAACAATCAAAACAAAACACTTAAAAATATAGAAATAATTTATAAACATAATTAAATTAAATACTATTTATTAATAGATAAGCAAATAACTTGAAAACGATTAGACCGATCGACTTATTTTTTTAAACATGTTCCTAATAATCCAAAAAAGGTTTTTACGAAAAAGAAAAATTGAAAGTTATCAGAAAAATTAAAGGAAAACTGAAAATACTTTTTTAATAGTACCTATTTTTTTGCGTATAACATTTTGGTCATTCACTTTGTGTACTGAAATTCAACATTCAACGGAAACGTCAAATTTGATTAGATTTATTATTAATTATTGCAAGAACTCGTATTTATTAAGTACTTAATTATATAACTTCAACAAATTGTTTTACCCATTTAAATTTAACTTGAATTATCACGCTTAATAATAAAGTATATTTATATTACTCGTATATTAATTTATTAACAATATTAGAGCAGGAAAATTAATTGTGACAACGACTGTTACATTTTGAGCTACTTTTATAACAAACACAATTTTTGGTTTGACAAGCATTTTTATACG